GATCAGCCTCCCGGTATCGCCTGGAAGGAATTCCTCAGTCAGTTCAGTGGCTGGTGGCAACCGCGTCTGAAACCAAAGTCTTTCGCCCGAAGCGGATGAAATCCTTCCCGAAGACCCGGACACGAAGATGCTTGGTTTTAAGGGATTCGGCTGGACTCGCTTATAAAGCCGGTCCGGATGCGCAGATCTGGGATGACTATATAAGCATAATCACTGTGTCAAGTTAGTCAGATAAGACAAAATGAAACACCAACAGGACTTAGTGACGAAATCCATAACTAATACAAAATATTCTGCAGGCACGTAAAAAATCTCCGGCGAGTGCAACGCGAAATCCCAGTTCCACATGCAGCATCTAGTCTGGTACTCACTACTTAAGATGCTGAGAACCTGCTTCGATAACGGTTTACCAGCACTTTCCAAAGTTAATCGTCACCCCACCCGTTCGTGCACAGCTCACTTCGCCTCCAGAACTAACTCACGTATTCGCCACCACTGCAAGTGAAGTGGCTAATGTCGTTGCGCGTGCACAGCTCACCTTGCGTGAACACCATCAAACCGACGGATTTAAATTCGTAGAGGGTAGAAGTCACGATTAAATTAAATTTAAATTAAATTTAAATTCCGCAGCCATTAACCTTGCCGAAGAGCTGGCCTGGTTATTCCAACGAGGCCTGGAGGAAAAGCAGGTTCCATACATGTGGAAACAGGAGCTAGTTACTCCTATTTTCAATAGTGGCATCATACGAGACCATCCTACTATTGTCCAATCACAACCTTCCTAATGTTATCCAAATTTATGAAAGGAAAAATCACGAAGGCGCTCATGGAATTCCTTGAAGACAACAACATAATAATGTCACAGTAGCATGGATTGCGCCGAAATCTGTCCTGCATTACAAGCTGGACAAATTTGGCCGATGCTAGACAAGGTGAGGTTGCATACCTGGACTTCTCTAAATCATTCGAGCACATGGTCCACCGAATTCTTCCTCACAAACGAAGCTATGCAATCAGTGGCATTGTGCAAGTTTCGAAAAGCAACTTCCTCATTCAACCTCAGCTGAATATGGGAGTCCACAAATCCATCTGCAACTTAATAGAGGTCTAGTGTGGTGTGCCCCAATGATCGGGACTAAGACAAAGTCTGTTCTTAATGTTCGTCAACGATATCGCTAGGATGCTACATTCGGACTACTTAATGGTTGTAGACGACGTCAAGATCTGACATCGGATCAAGACAATTGGCTACCGCGTGACACCACAACAAGAACTCGATGGGTCCTGCACGTTGTCCTCCGGAAACCGGTTCCCATTCAACCTGACAAAATGCAGCTTTCTGATCATACACCATCAGTGTACTCAAAAATATTAATTGAAAAAAGCAGCTACTGGCCCACGCTGCGCCGGAAAGAGACTACGTGGTAATCGCGCAATCCGACAGGCAGTGAAAACGTCGAGAAGAGCTATTCAGCACCTTGCCCTCTTACGAAGGGCTTCTTGTAGATCGAACCACGAAGACATGTATGAAGCATTACGCTTTCTTGAGGCTCCATGTGAAACAAGCAGTCAAGGTCTGGTGGCCCTAGTGCAACCATAATGCTGCTGTCCTCGACGTTGCACAGCGTAGGGTGACGAAAATTATTAGAGGAATGTTTCACCCCTCCTACCAAAGTATACTGCAAGCCATAGGCTTGTACAACGGCAAATGCCGGCACCTGTGGGGAGACCTTATTATGGTGTACCAAATACGGATTAACCCTAAGCACGCATGTGGCAATCTGTTGCAAGACAGCTTAAGTATGAGCTACCACATACTGGATAGAGACACAGTAAACCTCATGAACAATAGTACTACAAGGGTGCATGGGTTTCGCTTGGAGTTAAGGCCAACAGCCATTTTCATACGCACGAGAATGAGTACCCAACACGAATTGTCAGTGTTGAACATTTAGACGTGAACATAAATGACAGTCTCAAATTTTTGGCTGCAAAATTTGAACGAAACCGATGTAGGGATAGGGAAGCAAATGCCATCAGTACGGTTACTCGGTAGAATGGTAAGTAAAAATGTGGGGCAGTAAAATAGTGTGTATTGAGGTGCTGCCTCCAGTATTTCAATTCGGGCATGTGGTGCCGATGGGGTAGATCGCACAGCGTACGAATGCGATGGGGTGTTCACCTCAGGCTCGCCGTGTCACCGACTGCCGCTTAAGACTGTAGCGGTCCAATCATCCTCTTCCCGAGGTTCCTGCGGATTGTCAAAGAACATATTTTGTGCAACCTTAAGCGTTGACAGGTGGTAATATCGCTTATTTACCGCTTTTGACGTCTATGGCGCGACAACAGTCGCAGTTATACATCAACTAAGTCCCCTTGTCCGCTGTCGAACATTCGGCCACTAAAACAGTGTTCAGACTGCTTTGCAAATTTCAAAAAGTTGCATGGCTTTCAAATGTAGCTGTGTACGTTGCTGTGGTCATAAACTATTTGGGTACGATTTGCATCGTACGTCTCGAGTGCAGTCATTCGGCGCTCCTAAACGATTGTCGTTATGTGTCGATTTCTTTTCGATGTAACATACTAAGACACTGAGTTATCATTACCGTTGACATTACCTTTTTCTTAGTCTACCCAGAAGATTGGCCCTGTCTAACCCAACTGCTATTAGGTGCCTCTGCGCTTCCGCCTTCAATCCACATAATACCGGCGTTTTCATAAGCGCGGGTAATTTCGGTATGGCTGGTGAACAACGGGCAATATAACTATGCTCACTCTCATCACCAACAGGTGGAACGGAACATAAACTAGCCACACCATGATGATCGCGTTGCACCGACTCCCTAAGCCTCCTGCTAGTTACTGTTGAGCAGCTGGTCGAGATACGGTCATTTAATCTACCAATCAATTTCAAGGAAGAGAATGTAGGTAGCAAAAGTTTAGTGACAGTCTCGCATAACCTGGTGAGCTATACCATGGAGCTTACATAGTGATGTGAATCGCGGACGAATAATAACACGAAGTGGAAGATGCCGTACATCACTGTCTCCGTATGTCACCGCAGTAGTAGAATCCACTTGAGAAGGTAGCCTGGGTATCATAGGCCACGATGAGTACAACAGTGTAGTGGGCAATACCTCAGGTTATCGCGAAATACAACCGAGTTAAGTAAGCCCATTATAAGGTAGATTAGATGTGGCTTTTCGGTCTTGGACAGGTGCAATAAAGATACTACACTGCACCAAGTCAGTGATTAATCATTCTAGAATGAAACTGTACCCAAACGCGACTTAAATTAGCGAGAGAATAAGGATGACACGAAGAATATGACATAGATGGAGTAGACAACATGAAAACTTTGCAGGAAGATGGTGCGCTTAAGCCAACGGATTTGCACATGCTCAGCTAATTTAAACTCAGCGGCTAAAGAACGAGAATCACAGCTACGCTCACTTAAACGACGAAGTAAAACCACAATGGGACGATGATGACTTATCTTTGGTGTGTTGAAGATGTCGTCTCCTATATTAACTGCAGGCTAAGCCAGAGCTAAATATCATACCTTGTCCAATGTAAGCAAGAATTAGCCCGTATGTGGAACCACCAGGTGGTCAGTTGTAGGTCACTGTTTATTCTCCGCTTAGTCGCCCTTTCTGAGTGCTAGCATGTCTCGACCTATTTATCAATACCGAAAATTCTACCTGTGTCCAAGCATTTCGATTTGGATGCTACAACATGTTGATGCTGTCACTGAATCAAAATTGATGACTTGCCTGAATCTCAGTGTGTGTGTCTGCAGGCGACAGCAGTACAAGTGACGTGCGGATGCACTTGACCGTGCTACATTGACATCGCGTTGCAGCCTGCAATATTTCATGGTTTCATGCGAATTGTAATGTAATATGACCCATCCGTCAAAATGAAATGTAATGAGACCCGAGTAGATGTCAGCGCTACCTGTAATTTGAGCGAACCCCAATTAGACATCGAACAATCAGATAATGGAGTCACAGGTGTGAAAATGCGATTGGTCTGTCAAGCTGAAATGTGGCGCTTATAATTGCTTCTAACTGGCTTCCTCTTAGTCATTCAACATAGTGACGAGCATTGCCCGCTACGAGTAGAGATATCAATGAACAATGAACAATCATTTATAACGGGTAAAAGAACAGGTACTTGGCATGTCCCGAAGGGGGTTTAACGTGAAAAAAGGATAGAACAAGGGATAATGGAGTCGTCAGTTCGGGCGATTACAAATTTAAATGCACTGTCGTATGGAGGGAGTTTGAAATGAGAATGTACGCACGCAAAACAATAAGGGGAGTGGTCATTGGTTACATAATAGGCGAGAAAAAAATAAAAAAGATAGCAAGGATAACGCTTACTCGTGTGCAAATATCTTGGGTCGACAGGATACAGAAATCCAGTTTCTATAGTAGTAGCTTTTATCAAATTGCTTGCAAGGGGTTTGGAGTGACTCATTCTCGAGTAGAGTTATGACACTATCCACTGTCTGTTGTGCATTAGAGCCAGCATCCGGTGGGCATGGGCTATAGCACGTAGTGTAAATGTGACAGGGTATCGTCAAGGCGCTTTTTAAAAAGGGATAGGATGGGTGCGTTAATTACATTTTCCGAGAGGGCGTTCCAAGTCTGTGCCACTCGAAGGGAGAAATAGTTTCGTCGACATTCCAGGTGGCTGTACTGCGTGACTAAGTTAAACTGGTGACCTCTTAGCGAGGTGTTTTGACTGAGTATTAGAAGGGAATGGCATAGGTGGTTGGGGTTTCTCAGGATCTGGTACACCATTATGAGACCGCCCCTTAGACGCCTGTAACGTCCACTATATGTTTTGAGGGTATTCAGCCTGAGTGGGTAGGGAAAGCTGGTCGAACCTCGGACGCTCTTCGTTGCCCTATGTTGTGCAGTATCCAGAGCTGTGAGATGGTGCTTGAGCCAGGGTTGCCACGCTTGATTAGCGTATTCCGCGTGCGGCCTCACTTATGCACTAAGCATTTTTGGAAAGTTCCAAGGGTCAAACTTCTCGAAAGCTCTGCGAAGAAGGTCGAGGTACTGGTTTGCATTCTTAGTAGCCTTTTCAGTCTGCATCAAACAACCGAGGTCATCTTGAACTATCACGTCGAGATCGCACTCGAGAGAAGCCCGCTGTAGAATTTGTGGTCCTAAGCGGTACTTGTGCATACTCTTGTGCCGTATACTGAGAACTTTAGAATTGGTGACGTTGAAGTGAAGCAACTTCTCGCTGGACCATGTGTACGCTTTGTCCAGGTCCTCCTGTAACACAATGTGATCCTTCACTGCAGCTATAGTACGCCATACCTTTAGGTTGTCAGCGAATAGCAAACAGTTAGAAGGTAGCACGCTCGCTAGATCATTTATAAAAACCAGGAACAGGCGGGGTCCAAGTACCGAGCCTTGAGGTACGCCGCACTGAACTTCGATGGATTCCGACAGGTTGCTTCTAACCCTCACATTCAAGTGACGTTGCACGAGAAAGTTGTCTATCCAACCCAGGACAGGATCGCCGATTCCATATTTCTGGAGTTTGTGTAGGAGAATGCAATGGTCTATACTGTCGAATGTCTTTGAGAAGTCCAAGTTGGCTGCGTCGACTCCTACACCAACGTTGACAGATTCCGTCCAGCTTGCACGAGCAATCAACATATTAGTGGTGCAGGAGCGATTTTGGCGAAATCCCTACTGCTCCAGAATGAGAATTTTGTTATTCTCTAGGTACCCCATCAAAGCCTCAACAACAATGGACTCCATAGACTTGGAGATCACAGGAAGTAGTGTTATAGGGCGATAGTTTGTTGGTTCAGCACGGCTACCACTTTTGTAGATAGGCGGGATGATTCCGTGCTTCCACATGGTGGGGACGTGCATCTCGTTCAGACATTGTTGAAAGAAAATTGCTAATAGTCTGCCAAGCTCATGGCATTCAAGTTCCAACGCCTTCGGGCGAATGCCATCCGCACCCGCGGAGCGGAACTCGCGCAGAGACACCAGCCTCTTCAGTACAGCTGCGAAGGTAAACGATATATGTTTTAGCTCTGATGGCAGCGTTATCTGCTTAGGCAGGATGTATGATGACTGCACGCTTTGAAAGGTACGGCCAAATTGTTGTCTACGAACGTTGGCCGCCTCTTGTGCGGTGTGCGCTAACCCGAATGCTGTGTGCAGAGCAGGAATACCGCGCTTAACACGGCGCAAGTTGCTTAAGTGTCTGTATAGCCGTTTGGGATTGGAGCAAAACTGTTGCACTAGACCTTGTTGGTTCTTCACTTTATCCTCCCGGACGAGTTTGACACAGTGGTTTCTTTGCATTATGTAAACTTCCAAATGGTTTCGAATTCGAGTTGCAATTATAGAGTGTTGTGAATGGGCAATGACATTTCGAACGCAGAATAAATATGTGCGTTCATATGCATTTGTTCACAGTTGTGTGTGGACTACCACAAACTGAATGGAGAAACAGTAACCCTCATGGACAATAACACAACGAAGATGCATGAGTTTGAATTGAAGGTGAGACTAACAGCCATACTGCTCTAGTTTTTGGAACTCGCACATACAAATATAATTAAGCAGTACGATTGTCGGTGGTCAGTTAATGTCTAGACGTGAACTTAAATGGCGGATTTGGATTTAATCAGAAGTGTGGGCGTTAACAATCGATAGATATAGATATAGGAATAGTGAAGCAAATGCCATCAATGTGGTTACCAGGTGGAATGATGCTAAAATAATTGGTACAATAAAACAGTGATGTCTTTTCGTTAGTGTGTGCCGTAGGCGTTGTCTGAAAGAGACGAAGTTGAGCTGATGATGGTCCTACAGCATGTGCATGCGAAGGGGTGTTAACTGCAGTCCTGCGTGTCTTCGCCTTCTAAGACTAGACCGTGTTAGGTGCGGATTATCGAGGGAAGTGCTTTGTTCTAACTTAAGCGTTGGAAGGCGGTAATGGCCCACATTCTCTGATGAGTTCTTTGACGTGACCACATGAATAATAAGTTACTCCCGTTGTTCCCAGTTAAACATTAGGCTTTCGAATAAGTGTTCACAGTGTTTTAGCAAATTTCGAAGAAGAACATTGGCTATCATCCAACAACTCAACCGTAAGCAAATATATTTGTATACTATACTGTGAAGATAAGCTAATTAATAACAAGGTGTCATCATACATCACGGTTGAAGCCATTCACTGCCAAAAAGAAATTGTTCCTGTGCACTGATTTCTTTTTCAATAAAATATGCTAAGGTACTGCTAACCCATTGCAGCAGAAGATTTGCAATTTCTATATTAAATGCTAGCAGGCGCCATTGCGTTCCCGCCTCGAACTTGGATATATACAGAGGGACCATAGGTGGCTTGTGTTGCACCATGATTTGGTGGCGTCCGTAACCGGATTTGCCTGTCACTGTGACGTCCATGGGGACAGTCACAGAACGCCTGCGCCTACAAAGGGTACCACGGGTGGCTTGCGCTGCACCACCCATATTTCCACCTACACACCCCATATCCGGTTTAAACCCGAAAGAATAAGACCGGGAGGCATGTGAATGGGAGCCACGTTTCATCAACGGAGCCGGCTCACACTCCTACAACAAGCAGTACGGAACCATTCCTGCCTAATTGGGAAATCATACACACCAGAGGTACGCGATGCGGTGGCTGGACCGTAGCCCGTTCCGCACAGGATGGAACTACTCTTTAAGCCTAGCACGGTCACGAGGACGGTGTACCCCGTCTTCACCAGCAACGACCAACTGTCTCCTGGAGCCAGTATGGAGGAGGTAGTGGGTAATAGACAGGTAGGCACTTTGTCAACAGTCACATCAGGCGCATCCACACCGGGAAGCTCAAGCAACATCTACTTCTGAAATGCTAGGTTACTCATCACGCAAACAAACGTACCACGTACACCGCCTTATTGGCTTGGATTAGTAAATTGGATGGGAACGTCCTCATGGTGCTTCTATTCCGCGTGCAATAGTGCCTTCTCCGGCACCTGAGAAATCGCTCTTTTGAGCATTCCACGGAATTCGCATCGATCAAATTTGCCTTGGATCCGCAAACTTCTGAAATCAACATGAGTTTGTCATAAACTCACCTTCTTCATGTTCTGGTAATGTTATTTTCGGTTTTCTCGAATGCCATTTTACTGCACTAAGTTAGTCGTACAAAAGCGGTATGAGTATCCTCGTCGAATTCATTCGGTATACATTTATACATAGATTAGCGTCATCCGTGTTCAATGGCAGTTCGAATACAACATATGCACATGTGTTTCCATGGACTTCATTATACAATGAACAATGAACAATGAATTTATACGGGTTAAGAAGCGTCGCTTTACAAGTCCCGTTGGATGGTTGGTGGGGATATCAACATAGCAATAATGGTAATAAGGATAGTAAGATAGTTAATACTTTATATATGACAATAAGGACTTATCGTCTGCCTCGTTGTAGTCCTGCGAGCCTCTTAGATTCACAGCACCCACAGTTAACAAAATATAATTCCAGAGTATATTCCAGGTGTAGGATGGAGACGTAGTTTTAAGTGAGAAAGTGTAAGTGGATGAGTGCATCGTCCAACCGTCTTTTAAATACTGTTGTTGTTGGTGCAGAGACGACCGATTCTGGGAGAGCATTCCACGGGTGACAGACACGAATGGAAAAGAAATTTCTGCGGCACTCCAGACGACTGTATTGTTCTGCGAGTTTTAATGAGTGGCCCCTCAGGTTTGTATTACTGCCGAGTTGCAGTAAAGAGCGGCACACATGATGTGGGTCTGGCAGAATCAAGTATGCCATAATAAGGTCGCCTCGTAGTCTGCGATAGCTTCCACTGAACAATCCTAGTCGTCGCAGCCTCACATAGTAGGAAAGATTGCGCATTCCAATTACGTTCTTAGATGCCCGGCGTTGTGGCTGCTCCAGTGTATTAAGTTCGTGTTTCAGCCATAGATGCCAGGCCTGAATTGCATATTCGACATGGGGGCGAAGATACGCACTGAGCATTTGTGGAAATATGGAGCTGTTTATTTGTCCAAACGCTCGCCTCAACAGCCAGATGTGTTGGTTCCCGGTCTTCGAGGCCTTTTCGGATTACCTGGAGCAACGCAAGTCATCTTGAACCAGGACACCCAAGTCACGTTCGACAGTTGATTGTTGCAGTTCTTCCGTTCCGAGCCGGTATGAGTAGCTGCTCTGATGTCGGATAGAATCACCTTGCATTTACTGACGTTGAAATGCAATATGTTTCGGGTCGACCATTGATACACCGTATGTAAATCACTCTGAAGCACATGTTGGTCGGCGTTCGCCTGGATCCTGTGCCAGACCTTGATATCGTCCGCAAACATTAGGAAGTTTGAAGCGATTCCCTGTGCAAGGTCATTAATAAACACCAAAAAAGAACGTGGACCTAGAAGAGAGTCTTGAGGCACACCACACTCCACTTGTATGGGGTCCGATAAAGAGGTCCGAACTCTGACCACTAATTGCCGTTGAAATAGAAAGTTGGCGATCCAGCTTATAATAGGGTCGCCGATCCCGTAATGCTGCAGCTTGGATATTATTATCCGATAGTCTAGACGATCGAAAGCCTTGGAAAAATCCAGGTAGATCACATCAATACCTACTCCAGCGTCAGCCGCCTCGGTCCAAATACTGCGTGCAATTAGTAAATTAGTTGTACATGACCGCTGTCGACGGAAACCGTGCTGTTCAGGAGTGATGAGGTTGCAGATTTCCAGATAGCACCCCAGTGCATCGGCAACTATGGATTCCATGATCTTGGAGAGTATAGGAAGAAGGGTTACTGGGCGGTAGTTGGAGGGATCAGTTCTGCTTCCACTTTGTGAATCGGGCTTATTAGTCAAAGCTTCCACATGGCGGAAACTTGGTTCTGGTCTAAGCAGCGCTGGAAAAACTGAGCTAAATGTCCTGCCAGTTGGCTTGCTGCTGTTCCCAATGCCTCTGGACGAATGGTGTCGACACCCGGCGAGCTGTGTTTGCGTAGAGATGTCAGCTTTTGCAATACAGCTTCTGCGGTAAAATTGATGTGGGTTAGTCCTGGTGAGCAGAATACAAAGCTTGGTAGATCGCTTGGTGGCAAGACTCTTTGAAACGTGGGGGCGTATTGCATCTGCAGCGCGTTTGCAGCTACCATAAACGTTCTTGTTGGGCCGTCAGCCGTCTTCAGTGGAGGAAATCCTTGCCTCACCTTTCGTAGGCTATTAACGTGCTTGTACAGCAGTTTGTGGTTAGCACTGAAGGTTGTTGCGATGTTCTGCTGATAGGCGGCTTTGTCTTCTCTTAACAGTTGCGTGCAGTGATTACGTTGGGCTACGTAGCTGTCCCAACTTTTTGGTGCTGTAGCTTCTCTGTACACTCGCCATGCTGCGTTGCGTACTGTCATCCATTTTCGGGTTCTGTTCCTAACGAAAGAAACTGATTTGCACTTATTGAACGCTTTGATCTCTGAAGCCTGTGCAAGCAGCTGACTGAATTTGTTGACGAACTCGGGCCAGGCGACTTCCGGGGGTTCATCTTCGTGGAAAGACCATGTTGTGGCGCTGACTAGCTGGGCGAGTCGGTCGTACCTTGTGATCGTTCGCACAGTCTCATCGTTATCACTCTGATATTCTGCATAG